GACCTGGAAAGCAGGGGTGCCAGCAATTGGCGTTGACTGAGCGTTGAGAAATTCTACAGACTGGACTCCACTGCTACTATTGGAAGAACATGCTGCTGCAGACATGAAAAAGCATCACTGGGCGATGTTCATTGGAAAAGGAAGCTAGTAGACAGGAAGGAAAACAAGAATAAAAGTACAAAGAAAGGAATGATTTCCATCTCCTACTTGCAGTCGCCTCTGGTACTTGGCTGAGAAAGTTGAACACTGACAAAGAGAAACAGGGCTTGTAGCTGCCCAGTGCCACTATTGAAAAGTAAAAAATAGATAAGTGGATTTGAAGCTAAGAGAGGAGTTTAATCACCAATCCAATAACCTATGGTAAATTCTTTACATTTCTGAAATACTGTTTATAAAATAATAATGCCTACCACAAAAATATATTTGAGTTTTTGGCAAAACATATATAAAGTACCTCACATAGGGCTTGACAAATAAAATGTATTATTTCACAACAATTAATGGTTTCCACTCCTGATTCATCGTTCCTAGTGCATCTGCCACCCCCGGTGCCTTCCTTAAACAACTACTTTGTAGAACTCCATGTGTGGTCTTATCTATTGCCAGAATATATCTCAGCAGGAAAAAGCTATTTATAAGGTCTCAGTCAACAGGGAGCTTTTCTAGGTTGGGGACCAGAGATGGAGCTTGTTTTTTCACTTCTTTTTCTCCCTGTCATGCTGAAAATATGCCAAAAATTTATCATCTCAATCTCTACTTGCTTCATCAGTGTCAACCCAACAGGTCCGCTTTCCTGGATTATGAAGACACAATCTAGTTCCTTTTTTCCCCCATGAACAATTCTAAGCAAGATGTCAAACTTGAGCCAAAGCCCCACACCTAAAGATTCATGTTCATTATATTTCACATGCCCCAAAGTGGACATTAGAGCCCAGCCCCATCACCATTTTTCTGATGTTCCAATCTGATAGCCATTTTCCTCTACATCATTCCAGACAGTAGAGACCATAGTTTTAGGAAGGAGAATTACTTAAAAGTAGAGAAATTATCAGATGCTATATGATACATATTAGAGACAATGGCTCTTGTTCCATGAATAGCCCATAAAACCCAACTCCTGCTGAAAAGCAAAACAAAACTCTTGCAACCTCTCCTAAAGCTATTGTTTTCTGATAGTTTACTCCCTTCATGATCCATAGCACATGCACTTCTTTAGTAATGACAAGACTTTGGGAATTTTTTTTCCCCCATAGGGCCAGTGCACTTATAGGAGAGAGAGAGACGGAGAAAGAAATGAGAAATTTCCCCTTAGGGGGGATGGCTATGCTGCAATCCCCCTCCTTCATTCTCCTCTTGGGATTTTAGGCAAACATGCACATGCACCTGCTGTGATTTTAAAGCTATTAGGTCTGGGATTCAAACCATGGTCAGCCATGTAGGAATTCAGTACCTTAACCACCATGCCACCACTTAGCTACCATGATGGCCCCCTTGGGAGATTTTTTTTTTTAAATCAATCTCATTTAGTTCTGTGTGAAATGGAAATACTTACACTATGTCACAGGTATGTTATAGGGATTAGATAAAAAATGCATATTCAGGGGGAGAGAGAGACAGAGACAGAGAGACAGAGAAATGAGTTATTTCATTGATAAAGTTTCAATTTTACAAATTGAAAAGTTCTGGAGCTATGTTATACAGCAAAGTGAATATACTCAACACTACTGAACTGTACAGGTGGAAATGATTAAAAGGGTAAATTTTATGTTCTGTTTCCTGTTTACCACAAGTAAAACAAATGTTTATTGAGTAAATGAATAATAAGTTTCTAGTGTCTGCACACACACACACACACACACACACACACAAGTACATGTTCATCACTCATCACAAATGCCTGGTGCATTGTAAGTATTCAAATACCTATAAGGTTCTGCCCTTTCTCCTTTGAGTCTTTTAGCAATCTCTTAACTTTTAGCTGTATGCTACCCTGTCTCTGCTTCTAAATTAGGTCCCTCAGCTCTATCCAGAATCCTTATCAAAGCTCTTCTCACTCCAGTCTTTAGAGTTTTTAAATACCTTATAGTTAGGGCCACGTAGTTTGGGATGTTTATATTTCAGGTATTTTTCATTGGTGCTCATTATAAACAGCACAAGTCAAGCAAACAGATGTTTTCCTTGACCTTACCTCAGAGGTGAAATAAAAATAAGTTTTTGGTGGTGCAGCCATGGTAGCATGTGCTGATAGATGCTGCTGCTCAGTGGGTTGAGATCACATGGGAGGCCTGGAGTTGATCCCCAGCCTACTTTAGGAAAAAAAAAAAAAAAAAGACCCAGATGTGGTGCTATGATCCCCAGCTACTTGGGAGGCTAAGGCAGAAAGACTGCAATACATTAAGACCCTCTCTTAAAAGTAAAATTTTTTTGTTTGTTTATATCAACTTTTCTTGGTCACTTTTATGTGTAAACAAACCTTCCTGGGTAGTATATGACTATTGAAAGGAGATAGATTGATAGATGATAGATAGAGACAGATAGATAGAGAGATACCCTATTTGTAATTAAACATGACAAAGTGCTCCTCAGATTGAAGTCAAGCATGATTTTGTGCAAGATTTAAAATTAATCTCATGTTTAGGTTCAACTCATTATTTACTGTTATTTGTTCTTGTTTTCGGTCTTTTGTATGCAGAGAAGAGCCATTCATGGCTCACATCACAGAAGTGACATCTTTTTGGTTTTGCTTTTCCTACTTAAAATATAAGAAAGCAGTAAAAATTCCTGCATGACTCAGAATGTTAGAAAGCTTTATATTATAGTAACACAGCATAAAAGCATATCCTGTGATGGTTTTTCTTTTAATAATCAGGGTTCCGGTTGTCAGGTTACACTATAAGCTTTTCAAGGAGAGATGGCTTTGAAGTAACCACTGGAATGCCCCTCTCCTCTCTACTCTGTGATTACTGTTCCTTTAAAATGAGTAAGTAGATGATTGATTTCATGACCAGAACCCAACAATGAGATAACCCAATAATGCATAAGAGGGATAACTGAAACAGAGAGATGTGTAGAGAAGCATGAGGTTACACCCACAAGGGCAGATGGAAAAAGATATCAGGAGGACATGACCCAGTGAAGTTTCAACAAATGGAATATGGTCCACTGGGAAGAGTGTAACAGATAGTAGGACCCCAGAAATGTGACTTAGAATGTGGACAGTACTCACTAAGAAAACTGGAAGCTAGAAAGTAATTTAGGTAAGGTAGGAATAAAAAGGGACCCAGGTCCTAGAACAACAGGGGCTTTAAGAGCATAAATTCATACAGGCTGACTCAGTGCTAGGCCTTTGAGCTATAGTCTAAGGCTCTGTAGATCTTTCATCAGTAAAAGAGGCAAGTAATAACAATAATATAGGAGTTAAATGAGATACATAGTAAGTCAGGTCTGATTTCCCTGTGTGTATAATTTAGAAATTAAAACACTACCATTGGACAAGAGTTAGAAACTATTGTTGGGAAAGTCATGATGCATTTTTGTGTAGAAAAACATGTCATGACTTTCTCAACAACCTAATATATAGGACAAAGGACCAAGACAGCAATATTCTTTCTTCAGATAATATTCCTTCTCCTTTCTTCTAGTAGTTTATGTGATTAGTTAGAATTACAGTGACCTGGGAAGTCATTGTAATAAAATATTTGAGATGATCAGATTTGGTCTGGAGTCTTACTTGATCCTGAGGTGGGCAATGATTGGCCAAATGAATATCTTAAGTTTCTAAAATGCAGAGATTCTTGACTACGTGGGAACCCTCCACCCCCTCCCCCACATGCCCCAGGACATCTGGCAAACTAGGGGGGCATTTTTATTTGTCAAGACTCAAGGAAGAGGAAATGGAACTAGTATTACTCCATGTAGTGGGACTCAGCAATGCTGCTAAATATTCTACAATGTTTAGGAGCTCCCTATCCCCAAAAAGAATTATACAGTTGAATGCCAGTAATTCTGAGGTTGAGAAACCCTGCTGTAAACCAAGTGAATTCAGTCATTCTTTTTCTTATCCTGAGATTCTTTGTCACTGTGGACGTGTATATTGGCAATTGTAATACCCCATAAGCATTTTACACTTGTTTCAAATGTAACAGAATCATGTTCGGCATCTAGCCCACTAGGTCTCGATAGATTAGCATCCTCTAGCCATGATCACTGTGTGTGTGTGTAGTTCATAGTTGTGGAACAGAATGAAACTGCAGACCTACATAGACCTTCTCAAACAATTAACGTATGACCTTCATTTTAGGAGTTTTCTCCATTTGAGCTACTCAGTGCATAGGTACCCTACTTGGACATGTAAAATGATTTTCCTTTTCCTGAAGTTTGAAGCTGCAATGCAACCAAATATATTGTTTCAGAGGCTGATCATTTCCTACAGTGTCATCAAAAGTAACAAAACTTGGAGTGAAATCCTATCATTTTTGCAAACGGATGTGCATCTTCTCAAACAACTTGTAAACTTGACCTGGATTTCATAGTATCCTATGTATGCTGGAGCCCCCAGAACATTATACTGACTGACCAGAATCGAGTGTCCTTTGTCACTTTCTTTTGTTCGGTCTGTTCAGTCCACTAGGTTTACTTAGGCCTAGTTGATATTTTTCAGAGATATTATGATGAGGCATGTCTATGTTCCTTTAATTCTAGGTCATTAACAGTCTTGATGGGCTGGCTCATTAGTCCTAGTCATTTTCAGGTGCTTTTTATGTATTTAACTGAGAATCACAGATTTGAAAAGATTTGAGACTAGTTGTCAAACTCCTACACACAGCCAAATCTGTCCCACTGCCCACCTGTTTTTGTAAATAATGTTTTATTAGAACATGAAATGCTATTTGTTTACATATTATCAATGGCTACTTTTCCATTAGAGCGGCAGTTGGGTAATTGGGACAGAAGTGGTATGTTTCTCAAGGTCTAAAGTATTTGTTATTTGTCCCTTACAGAAACATTTTCTTGACCCCCAGTGTCCTCATTTTGCAGATGAAGAAGCAGAATTCTGGAGAGGTTAGTGACTAGATAAGAGTCACATCACTAAAACTGAGGTTAAAGCATGATATACGTGTTTAGAGGAAGATGGGTGGTAAAAATTAGACCGTTGACAAACTATTCAAACTGAAAGTGGGACAGGAGGTGGAATAAATATTGTATAATTGATTTATCCAAAGACAAAAAATACTGGCTTCCCCCACTGATCAGTTGTCTTTATGTCATGCAGATACAGCTGAATCAAGACTTCAATTAGTTTTATGCAGCTAGGTGCTCGTTTCCAGAAAAACCTAGCAGTATTTATTGGTCAGCCTTCTGTGTCTCAGTATTACATTCCTCAAAAGTTGAATTATTGATGGTAAGTCAGAGAAGACATTTTAGTAATTGCTGAAATCTTGAATGTATTAAGACTAACTGTCCCTGTGTTCTGCTATGGCACCAGCCGACAGTGATGAAATCTATAGAAGTAGGGCACATTTCCATAACATGAATATTCAGGGTTGGTGATGCAAGAATTATTATTAAACCACTGGGAAGAAACATGTTCTTATTATTATTTGATTGAATATTAAGTACTGCCTTTTAAAAATAATCCAGTATGGATACTTTGATAATGAGGAAAGAGATGCTTGAGAAGAGAAGAAAGGAAAAACAAACAAACAAACAAACAAAAACCGATGCATTTCCCTCAGTACACAGAAGGAAATTAAATTAAGTATAAAATATATAACATATTTAGAGAAACTGTTTTAGAAACATTTGCTATATTTCATCTAAATCTGTCTTGCATATATTGAAGTGTATTGTAATAGAAGCCCAGATACGGTTTGATTTAAATGGTTTATATAAGAATAGAATATGTAAAGAAGCATGCTTACACATAAATAAAGACCCTTAAAATAAATAAAATGCCTATTACAAATAGAAATTTACTATTATTATTTTACCCAGATGATATTTGTTAGCCTTGGGACATAATTGCCACAGTTCTAAGTAAAGGCATTTGTACTTCATTTATTTATTTAATTTTATTTATTTGTTATGTTTCTTCAATTTGATATAAGAGAGAGAGAGAGAAAGAGAGAGAGAGAGAGAGAGAAGCGAGAAAGCAAGCTGCCAAGTCCAGGACTCGAACCACGGTAGGCCATGTGGGATTCCAGCACCTTAACCACCACACCACCTGCTGGCCCCTATTTGTACTTCTTTAAATGTTAAACTTTTCAAGGGCCCTAGCACTTCTAAGAACCCTGGGTATGCTGCTGAAGAACCATCATTTAGGAAGTACATTTGGGACTTCATAGTAAAGCTTTTATGTTTGTGAAACAAAAGAAAGGAAATTGATTTCATTCATCGATCCATTAAGCATAAATTGAACCTTTGCTGTGTGTCTGATAGTGTGCGAGGCTCTGGTCTTACGTAGAGTCCCTGTCTTCTAAAAACTCATGATCTATAGGAGGGTACAGGCAAGTAAGCATAATTTTAACAGAGAATGGCACATGTTCTATGATAGACATGAACTCAGGATGCCATTCTGGATAAGGTTTCTTGTCTTTTACTAGCTTCTCTTATTCATTCTAGCTCCCCCCCACCCCCATTCAGTTTAGTTGGAGTTGTTCCTTAGGCGAAGACTGAGTTTAGTACCTTCCTGTTTTATTTCTCTTCCTACCTTTTCATCCTGCCCTGAAGGTTTTACCTCTACTTTTCATTTACTAATTGGGTTTGTGCTGCTTTTTGACAGTCCTCCCTAAATTTGGCCACCCCCTTTTAGTGCTTTCCTCTTTGTCTTCCTCTTCCCCTCTCCAGAATGAAGCTATCCAGGGCCCTGTTCCTGAGGTTGACTCTGTTAACTAGTAAATGAAATAAATATTTAATTAGTTTATCTACCAGAAGTTTCTGTCTGCTGTCAACAACTACAATATATCCAGGCATCTATGTAGCAATTTAATTTTAAATGGATTTTTTTTTTTGAGAGTTTTTGCTATAGGGCGCATGCACTTGCCAGGAAAACAGAGAGAGACAGAGAGACAGAAAGCAAGAAATCGGGAACCAGTAGTTAGCGTAATGGCTATGTCGCTGGACTCCCACGTAGTTGACCGTGGTTCGCGTCCTGGACCCGGTGGCCTAGAACTCATGCCGGGCGCGTGTGCGTGCGCGCGTGCCCAAGATCCCAAGAGGAGAATGAAGGAGAAGGGATTGCGGCGTGACCATCCCCTCTGGGGGGTGATTTCTCGCTTTCTGTCTCTATGTCTCTCTCTGTCTGGCGAGCGCACGCACCCTATAGCGAAAACCTCTCAAAAAAAAAAAAAGAAAAAGAAAGCAAGAAATCACCCCCCCAGGAGGGATGGCCACGCCGCAATTCCTTCTCCTCCATTCTTCTCTCGGGATCTTGGACACGGCATGCACACGAACCCGGCATGAGTTTAAGCCATCAGGTCTGGGAATTGAACCATGGTCGACTGCCTGGGAGTCTAGCGACATAGCCATTATGCTAACTGCCGGTCTCATAATTGGAAATTTTTAAGAGCTATAAATTGTTTATCCTAAAAGTTAGGGGTTAGGAGCATGAGGCAAAATTTTTAGGCATTGTCATAAAAATAAGAGAGACATCTTTGATCCCTCAGACCACATTATATAGGTATAAGATAAATGAATAAGATTGGTAAGGCCAAGTCAGTGAGAGATTGGAACAGCCTGAGGAGTCAGACACAATTCAAACAGCCATTCATCTCATGCTTTATTCTTCCTCTCTTTCCTAAAAGGACACCAGCCCTGTGTGGTGCATGGCAGCATGATATACTGGGAAGAATCTGGATTTTGGAATCACACAGTGCTCAAATCAGAGACTCAGTTTTTGCAAAAATAAAAATGCATGTACAAGCACCTACTACACTTCTTGGCTTCAGATTCAAGATGTGTGTTACTTTTTATTTATTTATTTTGCTTTCTTTCCTTCACTTAGAGGGATGATAAACAGTGGTTATTGCACACATCTGAGAAAAGAGACTTTGCAGAGAGAATAAAATAAAATTCCAGTGTTTCTGGAACTGACCTCCATGGGGCAAATTCAGAAAGCAGCAGATCTACATTATTTATTCAAAGAGAGAACTGCCTTATAATCACACTCTTGGATGCATGGGGTGAATGAGTGACAGCCAACCACCTCAGTCACGCTGAGAGGGCAACCTGAAGTGGGTGCCTCTGAGGGAAGAGGCAGAGACCTCCAAGGTCGCACCGAAGCAAGGCAGCAGGCAGCATTGCAGGGGAGGCACTGCTGGGAGAACCAGCAGCAGAGAGAAGAGCTATTCTAGGATGCCTCTCTTTGAGTGGGGTGACAGTGTGTATATGCTTTGAGATGTCAGATCTTCTCCACAGAGCCATTCTGGAAACTGGCCTTGCCTTCATCCTTTAGGATTTTAAAAAGCTGTTCCCTGAAGCTGTTTTGTTTATTTGTTTTGCTTTGCTTTAATGGCTTACAACTTTACGGCATGGGTTTAAGTGCAAGAGAGTTTAGAAAACCTTTAGAGAAATGGAAAGTCACTGATGTAGGCAAAACTGGAAAGGAAACATGAGTCTCACACTAATTTTTCAAACAGGACTCAGGGCAGAAGTGACTAAGTTCTTTGGTAGAAGGTGGAGGGCGCTGCTAGAAGGTGTTGTGTAGTTGTGCCTGAGACAGTGCAATAGGGTGTGAATCAGGAATGTAAGGTTGACTGGAGGAGGGAAAAGGCGTCTCACACCACTTCCTCACTGAGCAGAGTGCCAGGGATAGAAACCAAAAGAAACAAAACTAAATCATAACAAAACATCATCTTTCTCTCTGTTTCCCCACAGAAGAGCTGAGATGGGGAAGAGCCATGGGATGAATGGCTACTGCACAGACACTGTGTTGAGGAGGCTGTGGAAATATGGCACTGGCAGTGACTGACTTTGGACACTAGTGGACTCATTGTGAGTGGCTGGACACAACCCAAGCCACCAGTGAAACCAGGAAGACATACTGGACAACCTCTTGGGAACAGAAGGTCTATAAAAGGGCTAGGAAATGGGCTGGAGAATGGGACTCTCAGTTATGTGGTTTTGTGACCAAAATGGGAAGGCAAACAGGAAGCAAGTGGGGTGACAGGGGCAGCAACCATTGGGATAGGAAGCAATTCTAGGATGATTTCCCAAGGGTAGAGACGTGCCAGCAGTAGCTTGATGACACATTTTGTATTTTATCAGAGAACCTTAATGTTTCCCCTGGTAACCTACCCCCAGAGCCACTGTCTAGGGGCTTCCTGAGTCTGTCTTTAGGGGCAACAATGCCTTTCAGGTTAATTGGAGTTTTACCAGGGTCAGATGGTAGCTGAATCTGAAATATCTCCATGATAACTGCTATTGCTCACCATTTCTGTGTCTGGGCTCCACGTCGACAGAACTTACATTTAGAATTTTTTTTTCTATCTAACTGAGGAATGGAAATCGTAATTGCATATTTCATTTTTTAAATTATTATTAGTGAGAATAAACCAACTGTCTGTCTACCACAGGATTTAAAAAATGATTTGTCAGAATGTTTGTTTCTTGTTCAATATAGCCAACCTTGTTAAAGACAGGGTATCAATAGTGTTGTTAGGCTTGTAGGATAATTAAAATCATATTTCTGTCTTACATAAAAGTATACACACAAAAAAGTTCTCATAGTTTCTGTACAAATGCAGAAGTAGAATAAATAGGAACTGTGATAACTTGTTGCTTTTTAAATAACAGAATTGAATTTTTTGGTTTTGAATCAGAGTTGCAATTTGCTAAGTCTAGTCTAGAAAAACTAACTCATTAGTCCAGACCTGGATGGAGTTGGTGAGACAGATAAGGGCATCTCCTAGGTTATACTCCAAGACTGTGACTCAGTGTAGAGCTGTGCAATCAGGGGAAGCCTGAGGAAGCCCAGCAAGAAAGTAAACCAGGAGAAGGATAGAGTAGGCTTCTGCCAAAAGCTAAACACATCTGTAATTCTCATTTCCTTCTACTGAGGAAATGCAGTATTTCAAAACTAAGAGGCATGTCTGGCTCCTCTTTGACTGTATTTTCCTTAATATCTTCTTGTGTCCTGCTGCTGGATTCTGTTTGACTTCTATTATATCTCTTGGTCAGGCAGGTTGAATACTCTGCCCAAGAAAAGACTGGTATTAGCAGGAGGAGTGACTGCGGGAATAAGGTCTCATCTGAACAGTGATCACCTACTATGGCCTTTAGCACATTCTTATCAATTGGCAATGGATAAAAATTGCTCCTCTGATTGGTCCTTGAAACTGTACAGGAGCAGGTCAGCTTCAGTGATTATTGGCACCAGTGACTTCCTTGATTTTTACTTGTATTAGTTTGCAAGGATTGCCATAACAAAATACCATGACTGGATGACTTAAACAGCAGAAATGTATTTTCTTACAGTTTTAGAGGGTGGAAGTCTAAGATCAAGGAGTTCACAGATTTGGTTTCTACTGAAGTCTCTCTCTCCTTGGTCTGCACACGGCTGCCTTCTTGCTGTGTCCTCACATGGCCTTTTCTGTATGTGATAGCACCTTTTGTGTCTCTTTCTCTTCTTAGAAGGATACCAGTCCAATTGGATTAGGGATGCAAACTTATGACCTCATTTAAAGGCCCTTTATCTCTAAATATAGTCACATTGGGGATTTGGGCTTCAATGTAAGAATTTTGGTGGACATAATTCACTCCATAACCCTTTTTATGCATCTTGTGTTGGTAGAGAAAATCAATAGAAATGTACTATGAGCAAAGCAAATAAACTTGATTTTTTTTTTTTAGCCACTGAGATTTTAGGATTACTTGCTAGTGCAGCATAATTCAGTCCATTAAAATGATCAATTGCGGTTTGTATTTTCTCTCAGTTGAGCAACAACATATGGTCCTGTTTAATGAGACATGGTATCTTTTAGTAGGTTCTACATGCCTATTCATCTACATATAATCAGGTAAACCAGATCTCCCCAGAAAGGATGCTTGAGAATGGTGACATCTTGATGAGAGGTATCAAAAGAAATTGCAACATTAAAAAATAAACCTATATTTATTGTGAAGTCGCTGTGTCAGACTACAGAAGTACAGTGGCAAATAATAAAATGTTTTCCTATCCACTCATAGCCCAAGAGAGATATTAATTAAGCCAATAAAAATAGTTCAGTATTTATTTTACTGCAGTTTAAGTAAATGTTAGTAAAAGATTATAGTTTTCTTTTCTTTTTCAATTCTGACTTAACATAGGGCAGTTTTCTCATAAATGAAGTCCATGGTGCCTAGAAATTAGGTGATATGTACTACAAGGGCCAAAAGGCCAGTGTCTTCGGCAAGATGACTCAGATTGTGTTGGCTCTTCACTTACTTGGGAGCTTTCAGTATACAGATAATAACCGAAGTTACAGGAATGGATGGGATTATCCATGTTGTGTGAGAATAATGTTGAGTGAGAAGGAAAGAAGCTAAAAAGAAGAAAAGAGAGAAGAAAAACCCTCTGGGAAGAGCCCTAAAACATCAACATGTTAAGAACAGATATGAGATGAGGTTCACTGGAAATGATTGAGAAAGAACACCTGAAGAAGTAGGAAGAAAGTCAGTAAAGTAGTAATACAGAAGCCAAGGAGAGTGGGGGAAGAACTGCCAAAAGTCAAGTAACATGAGAACAAAAATGTGTACATGGAAGTTGGTAACAAAGAGGTCATTGGTGACAGAAATGAAAATGGTGAAGATAAAACCATACCCAGTGTTGAGGCTTGAATGGGAGTTGAGGAAATGGCCTGGGAACGTCTCCACCTCTTTAAAAAAAATGTGACTGTAAAGGAGAGGAGCAAGGCAAAGAGATGGTTAGGAATAAGTAAACATGTAAAGGGTGAAGAAAACATTTTTAATATTTTCACATGGAAAAGCAAACATGAATTCTGATGAGGCAGGACAGGAAAACACAACAGTGGAAGACATAACAGAGAGGGAGAAATTCATCAGGCTGGAGGAGAGGAGAAAGGCTAAGTCTTAACCGGGAGGAATAACTTCTATTATTTCAATATGGAAGGATATGAAGATGGTCAAGGAGGAAGACTTACAGATTTTCATAAGAAAGAGAAGGAATTGATATCTGACAGTGTGGTAGTCACTAGTGCTTTTATTAGTTACTTCTGGCTTCTCCTTCAGACCATTTTGGAATAGTACTTCCCTACCTTCATGGACTGACCGTGAAACTAGCATGGTCATTAAAATGTGGGCAATGGGAACCAGCAGGTGACATAGTGTTTGAAGCGCTGGACTCCCACATGGCCAGCTATGGTTAGATTCCCACACCTGGCAGCTTGAAACTCATGCCAAGTACATGTGTGTGTGTCCAAAATCCCAAGAGGAGAATGGAGGAGAAGGGACTGTGGCATGGCCAACTCTCTGGGGGCGGGGAGATGATTTCTCTCTCTCTCTCTCTCTGGTGATAATATGCACCCTATAGCAATAATCTATAGAAAAGGAAATGTAGACTGAATTTCTAGACTGAAACTTCTAGAACCAGTGGGTGATTTTCCACACTCTCTTCTTTTTTCTTTGTCAAAATGATTAACAGCAATCTAAATAGTGGTGCTTGATTAGCCAGGATCTTGAGTGACAACAGTACAGAGCAGACCCAGGTAATCTATGTGAACATGTAGCCTGAACTAAAATTAAACTTTGATTTTTTTTTGAGCCAATGAGATTTTAGCATTGCTTGTTAATGTATTGATAGTATAACCTAGTCTGTAATTGTGGTTTATGTTTTCTCAGAGGCTGAACTCTAAAGTGAAATTATTTATATCAAAGTCTATCTAGCTTATGAATTATACACTCACCAGTTTTACACAACTGGATGAAAACAGATGAAATAACTGACATATTCATTTATTTGAGGGTTCATATTCATTTATTTCAGGGTTTTTTCTTCATATAGAAGTGGTAATGACTAACAGTTATAATGGTACAAAAAAGTTTTTTGGAAATATATCAGATAGGCAGGTTGTGTCGAAGTTTGAAAAAAGTAAAAGATACACACACCATTGGCAAAATTCTACTTCTGAATTTTTCCCCAAATTACTACAGAAATAAAGAGATAAAAATCATAATATGCAGAGATACACAAAGTGAAGAGAGGACTCATAGGTTACTGAAGGCTTTAAGAACTGCTCTTCTACCAAAACATCCTGAATTTTCTATGGTTAGGAATTTGAGGACACAGTAACAAGGTAGAAGATGATGTCTGAGTCATGATAAAAAAAAAATGCTATGTGAAAGCTAGTGGTTTCATTCAGTCTTTTGACGTGGCTCAGTAGTGAGAGACAGCAGTAGCACAATGCTCTGCAATACTGGAAGCCATTTGGAAGACTGGGGTTTGTTTCCCAGGTTGATTTGTAGGTATTGGGTATGTATGATTTGTAGGTAATGGGTGTGGCTGACTTGGAAGTGCTGGGAGAGGATTAAGGCATAAGTACTGTTGAGAGTGCTTCTCTCTCATGAAATAAACTTTAAAAAGGAAAGAAAAAATATTAAAAAAAACCTTGAAAACAATAGCATAGGGACTGTAGAAGATAAAATACACGCACATATTTAAAAGACTAGACAGTTCTAAATACAAGCTTAATAATGTGATTTGCTAATAAGGGGTTTTTGGTATTTGTTATACTTTAGTTAAACAATATATTTATTTTATTTATTTATTTTTTTGGAGAGGTTTTTGCTATAGGGTGTGTGTGCTTGCCAGACAGACAGAAAGAGACAGAGAGACAGAAAGTGAGAAATCACCCCCCAGGGGGGATGGCCATGCCACAATCCCTTCTCCATTCTCCTCTCGGGATCTTGGGCACACACGCACATGTGCCTGGCGTGAGTTTAAGCTGCCTGGTCTGGAATTCGAACCGTGGTCGACTACATGGGAGTCCAGCGACATAACTGTTACGCTAACTGCTGGTCCTGTTAAACAATATTTTAAAGAAACTTCTGGGTGAAAGGCTTCTATAGAGGGAAAAGAAAAAAAATCTCTTAGACCTTAAACTCAGTAACTATCCAGAACCATGCTTGCATATATTTAGATGCTCACATTTTTTTAATGGACAACAAACAAACAAACAAACAAACACAATAATAAAGCTTTTTTTAAAATCCTTTCAATTTCTTAGAAAAATTTTTAGGGAAAAATATTGCTATATTCTCAAGACTTACAACCATTTTTGGATGATTTTAGGGTAAACTCACAGGTCTCTTGTTAAAGCTGGAATTCAAAACATTATTCACAGAAAATAGGAGTCAGTGAATGATAACATGTTTATCTAAAAAGAAATATATTTTATCCTGCTTAATTTGGTAATATCCCATATAACTATCCCAATTATAGAAAATGATGGTGAACCTCAGTAGCGATTAGAAATGCTAGAGTGTTGTACTTGTGT